AAAATTAAGCATGATTACAAAAAAATGTGATAGCCTTTTAAAAAGCCTCCTATAGAATTAAAATATGGTCAGATTTGCAAGTTTCAATGAAAGGAACAAATTCAGTTTTCTTCTGGAAAATGGTATCAAGTTTATTGAAGGAACATAGAGTTCAAGTTGATATTCCCGTTACATCCTCAGTATGGGAGGATCTCATAAGGCACATGGAAAAAGTTTTCTACTCCCAAAACTCTTTATTGATTGGTGGGCCTCTCTGTTAGCAGGCTTGTTCATCCATATAAATAATATAGGTTGTATTCCAGTTGGATGGGAAGTCACCATTATAGTTCTATATGAAAAGGAAGGCAAAGGTGATCCCCAAAAAATAGACCGATAAGCTTTATTGGAGTTGTGGGTAAAATGTATGTGATACTCCTGTTAAGCAAAATAGAAGGCTGGAAAATAGAAATAAATCTTTAGAGACAAGTTCCCTGAGGATGAGCTCTGTGAGTCCGAAAGCCAGAAGACTAAACTTCTGATCCTGGTGACCGATCCAGATTATCCTGGGACACATTTGCCTTCATTACGGGGGGAAAAAATATTTTAGTAGAGGAACAAGCTGGATTCAGACCAAAGCACTCCACAATAGACAATTATTTTACTTTTTTAAAATAAATTATTTTGCAAAAGTGTGAAATATAGCTGACAGATAAATGGGGAATCCACAACAAGTGAATTCTTTTACCTACAGTGATTTTTACCAGCATTTGGTTAGAGTTAAATTGTTTTTTAAAAATGTTTGGGAGTAACTGGGCCCAATACTAAAAGATTATACAAAGCATTTTACTACATTACTTTATATACACATAAAACAAAACAATTAACAAATCACAAGGAACAGTTTACCATATTTATACAACTTAATGCAGCTTTTGATTCTATAAGTACAAATATTCAGTGGATGAAATTTTGCCAGTTTAAATATGGAACCCAAACTCTTCATTTTGGGTTAAGGCTCTCTACTCAAACATTCACTTGAAAGTCTGCACAGGTGTAAATGCTGTTTTAACTAAAAGTATAGCCACCCATAATGGTGTATAGATACACCATTGGATACTCAGAGTATCCTAGCCCCAATGACTTAATTTCTGTGTCAATGATTTACCTGTATCTGCAGACACTCATATACCAAAGTCCATGATAAAATTTCTTAATATCCTTTTACATGCTGATGACATGATTATAATGACAGATTCCCGAATCCATCTCAGAAGACTATATTCTATTGGAGCATTTGAATATATTTTCCTTCACTACCAAATGTTACTGTGGTGCATTTCTTGACTGATTCTTTCTTTACTGTTGATGGTTAATCCTAAAAGGCAAAAACTATCACCAATACCTTGATTGTCAGTTCTAAGGCTGTTTATTATATCTGTTTCCATTTGTTTGATCGTCTTTAGATGTAAAGATGTAAATATAGAGCCCTTTTTTCTCTCTGCTTTATTACTAGAGCTTGCAGATCATTTGCATTTTCAGTTATCATGGTAGCATTAGTAGCATAGTGCAGATAACCACTTATTCCAATTTTAAAACCATGCTCAACTTCCAATCCAGCTTCCCTTAATATGTATCCAACATATCCAATATATATCCAATATGGCCCTTATTGAATAAATAAGGGCCAAACAGGCAGTCTCATCTCACTCCTCTGCAAACCTGGAGCTGTCCCTGTACCATGTTCTGTCTGTAGTGTGGCTTCCTGACTTCTATGTGTTTCTCATGAAAATAATGAGATGTTGTGATTCCTATTTTTCTAAGCACTGTCCACAATTTGACATAATCGACAATCATATGCCAATCTATATCCCATATTGTACTGACTTTTTGGTGTTTGGCTTTTTCAGTTACCCATATCGATAACAATGTCTCGTAGTCCCTGGTCATATCTAAAGCAAGTTTGAACATCTGACATATAATATCTTTTTAGTTAAATGCATAAAAATAAGAAACGTACGTACAGGAAGGCTTTTGAGAAGATTCAGACGTATTTTCCATTTATTTGTAAACATGCATAGAGTTGAATGCTAATTCAGCACATTTTCATATGAATATCATACAAGTGAAATGAGATGGGCAGCATATAAATTTCATAATAAAAGAAAAAATATTATAAAAATAATAAAATCTGTCAGAAACATTAAATCCTTTAAACTCAGAAGCTGTTTCCAAAAGTGACTCTTCCTGCAATTGATTTAATATTTTTCAGTTATTCCAACTTCATTTTTCTTTCCTTTTGTAAAGGAAAAAAAATAACTGGAAAATAGAAAGGTTTTGCTATTTTGTATCCCATAAAATGATACAGCAATGTTAAATCACCCTTGTATTTTTACTGGAAAAATCCAGACAGAAAGAAAATACAAGGAAAATATATCTACATGATCACTAAGAGTCGAAAGCAACTTGATAGTGCATAATTACCTTATAAAATCCTATGAATGAGAAAAACCATGACTAAGCTAAATATTTTCTAACACAAACTAGTGACAGGATTCACACATTATAATAAACTTTAACATAGTTTGGTTTCAGTTTAATCTATTGTATGAGTCTAGTCTAGTTATAAGGCAGACATTCGGTTCAGAACTGCTCTGGTTTTAAAGAGTAAATACTAGAAATAGATCTTATTCTTCTATAAAAATCAAAGCAATCAGTCACAAACAAGTACGTATACGTAGGAACATTTAATTTTACTACGTCCAAATCAATGGTGGGTTTCAATTTATTTTACTACTGGTTCACTTGTGTGCGCATGCAGAAGCTTCTACGCATGCACAGAAGCGTCGAGGCGGGTGGGCAGAGCCTCCCGCTGCCACCATTACCAGTTCGTGCAATCGGGGGCGAACCAGCAGAAACCCACCTCTGGTCCAAATATATATTTAGATACATATTGTAATCACTTTCCATTTTCTGAACTGTAAAGAATTTATAAGATATACTATTGAACCCAAAGTCACCACATTTCTTAATTACCTTTCATCCAATGCTTTGGTGCAACTTTTTTTTATAAGGGCAACATTTTCAATTTATGTTTGATAACAATCCTTCCTACCCCTTTAAGCAGTTTTTCTTCCACAAAAACATGTTGCACTAGCCAGAAGACAGCTGTGAAAATATCTACAGACCCCTCCCATCCTGGACATAATTTCAACTTCTACCCTCAAAGCGATGCTGTAGGACACTGCAAATCAGAACTAGACACAAGGAGTTTTCTCCCATGCCACCACTCTGCTAAACAACTAATTCCCACAACAGTGTCAAACTATCTAAAAAGGCAGTATTGCCATCATTATTCTCATCTTCCCTATTGCCCATCTCTTCTCATGACTATAACTTTGTTGCTTACCACTATTGTTGTATGTACATTGAAAGCGTTAGGCACCAGAAACCAATTCCTTGTGTATCTAATTACACTTGACCAATAAAGAATTCTACTCTATTCTTTTGCCTGGCATACACTGATGCAAATAAGTAATTTACTCTTTGGATTTAACGGCATATCCTGTCAGCTATGTCCTGACTATAAAGTGCTACTCAAAAGAGACACAAACAAAAACACATAGCCTCAGTATATTTTTATTACACTTAACACTGAACATTTGACTTGCTTGTAGCTCTCTCTCATTTGCCATAGCTTGGGATGGTCTTGGTGACTCCCTAGGGTGCAGCTGGCTTCCCTAGAGTTTACCAGAGGTCTTCAAACTTGGCAACTTTTAAGACTTGTGGACTTCGACTTCCAGAATTCTCCAGCCAGCTGGCTGAAGAATTCTGGGAGTTGAAGTCCACAAGTCTTAAAAGTTGCCAAGTTTGAAGACCTCTGGCTTAAGCCATAACGCTTCTAAATTTAGGGTGCAGTTAAGAGACGGCGGTCGCAATGCTCCATACCGTGCTAAGAGAAGCAAGGGACGACAGGGGTCGCCTTTTAAAAACGCCGACCTTACCGATGATAAACCAAAAGTTCTTTTGACGTTTACGCAGAGCCTCGCTGTCTAAGTAAAAATCGGCGACGTAACAATAGGAGAAAAATCTCGTGTTCTCTTAATCAAGGTTAACCCAGAAAAGAAACGGAAAGGATTGACCTGGGTGGCTTGGGCTTTCCAAATCTTCCAGCCCGTAGGATCGTTCTCTTAACAACCACGTAATAAAAGTTTCAGCAGGTAAAGAGGTCCATCTATTAAAACTTACAGGAGGCAAGCTGGGAGGGGGGGGAAAGAGACGGAAAAGGTCGATAACCTAGCAGAAAAAAAGCCGGTTACTTAGCATCTAAAATGGTTTGTGTACCATTAATGGGTGGTAAAACAGTTAAAACAAAAAGAGATCGAATTAAATGCGAACAGCGCCTGTGCTTCCAACTTATCTTCAAGAGCAGTGTTAAGAAATGCAGTCATACGCTTCGTGGCCTCCTCAAGGAAACAGAAGACCAAAGTTGGAAGAAAAGTTTCCTAACTGGGCCGGGATCTGTAAGGCTCCCGGTGGGCCAAACCGATCAAACCACCACCTCTGCTGCGAGTTTTGCTATACAGAGGAGCCTTATTCGCCGTACGCTCAGGAACCATGGTTTGTCCAGAGCTTATTATGCCATCCTGTATACTTTTGTTAAGTTTCGGTAGCTTCAATAGGGCTTCCTCGCCAATCAAGAGGCCCGCCGGGCTGCGGTCTGGGGAGGGGAATCGCTGCTGGGGCGAAGGCGGGAAAAGAACCAACGTTCGAAGGGCGCTTGTCTGACGGCTTCCTAAGACCGGTTTTGCACCTCCGTCCCGAGGAAGTCATTTGGCTTTACTACTAGACCCACAGCTTAACTCCGGGCCAGTTAGCTCACACGCGAGAAGGCTGAGGAGCGAGAGAGGCAGCGACAGCCACTCTTGTTCAATAACAATTCCCGCAAAACGGGAGGGGGGAGTTATTGCCATGGCAACCGAGCACCGCCTCTTGGACTAGGCCGCCGCTGCGGCGGCCTAACAGCTATGAAGAGCGGTGGTGGTTTGACCGGTTTGGCCCCGGGGCGCCTTGAAGATCCCGGCCCACTCCCGAGGCCTGCGAGAGACGCCCCCGTTCTCTTGACAGGTAGTGGCGGTATATCTTGACGGCACCTGGAGGCTCGGGGCGGGCAGCCTTCAGGGAGGATTGGCCAGGCTGAGACCTGAGAAGCGCGGCGGAGGCTTAGGGCGCGTGGCTCAGCGTCCCGCCCCTGAGGCTTCCGCGCGCCACACAGGCGAGATTCCTCTTCACGTTCACGCGCCCCTTACCTTTTGGTAGCGTGACAGGAGCTTCCGTTTTGTCTTTTTAATTTTTAAAATCCATTTTTCGATTTGGAAGTTTCTCAGGTCAAATTCCAAAATGAGAAGGAAAGTCAACATTGATTAAAATATTTTGGCAACACACAACACACACAAGCCGTCCTACAGAGAGAGCAAAGTTCGGGGAGCACAGGGCCAAGCCCAGCCCTGTTTACTTTTAATAAAATAGAAAAAGTTTCACTTTATATTCTATGGGTTTATTTAGGCCCAACCAATGTGAGTTACACACTAGATTTTTGATCTCCCAAAATCCAGGCAACTGTTTATTAAATGGAAAGGGAATATAGAAAAAGGCAAATGTTAAACAAGCCTGTGGCTGAAAGCAATGCAAGGCTCCAAGTACAATGACTGAAAGCTGTGCAAAGGGTTTGTAAAAAAAAAAAACAGATTTCAAGGAGAATGGAAGCCTAGAAAAGAAATTTGAAGGAGATGGTATTTCAGGCTGTTGAAGCTGTCTATTATTTCCCCAAATTCCAGAGCAGAGACAGTAGAAGTCCAGTATGATGGAGGATAAGCTAGGCCAAACACCATTGCTGTGGTCATCGCATGCCATACAATCTGTAGGAGAGCTATAAGTTCTCACATTGCAAATGACTGAGAAATATGTCCCCCCAATTCATTATTATCAGTTAATTGCATTTTTATGCATTGCCTCTGTCTATCTGTTAATCTGGGGTGATGCTATATTGAGCACTGTGTATGTATTATAAAAAATAGTACTTTAATATTACTATTATATCTAGTATTTCATCTAATGTAGTTGTAGTATTATTATGATTGGTGCATACAGCCAGATGTTTAGACTGTATTTGGCACTTTATCCAACTCCTTTCCAAGGATCTGAGATAGGCAAACATTGTTGTTTGATGGTGCTAAAGGTATCCTTGTCTTTTGCAATTGGTTGATGGTGATTTTGTCAATGCTACTAGGGTTCAAGTGATACTTCAGATGTTAATTATTCTTCTTTCAGAAATACCACAGTTTGCTGTCATGAATGAGGAACCTGCCACAATTTGTTTCAATGAAGATGATTATTATTGTCCTGTCTGCCAAGATGTGTTCAAAACACCTGTCAGAATTTCCATTTGTCAACATATGTGGGTACCTGACTAACCCATTTTTCAGTATTTTGTTTCTTTCCCTCTCACTCTTCCTTTATATTGTAAGAATACATCTATAGCAGTAACATTGCTCTTTTTCCAGAATATGCAAGAACATTATCTAGGCAAAAAGGGCTGAAATGTTTTTTTTAAAATCCAGAACTACAAAATAACATTTGGGAACAACTCAGGCAGACAGTCTTGTAATTTACTGAAATATAAGAAGGAGCAACAGATACTGTACAGGTTTCTGTTGTAGCCAATTTCAATAAAAGAAACATTAGCCTTGTAGAGTTGATTTTCTGATCTCATCTACCTAGTGGAACTGATGTATGTTCTATTTCTAATTATGATGAATAGCCATTGAGTTCTTATCCTTCCAGAATCTACTTATTCCCTTTTCACACTTTAATGGTTATTACCACTTAATTCCTCCTTAGCTTCCATTAATCTAGGTATCAACACAGTATACATAAAATTTGGATGATGATTTGCCTTAGACTACAGCAGTGATGGCTAATCTTTTTGCCATTGCATGCCAAAAGCGGGGGGAGCGCAGGGAGATTGTGTGACCGCGTGCCCACACCCATAATTGTATGCACCCTCCCCCCCGCTTTTGGCGTGTGATGGCTCGGGGAACCTGTTTTTCGCCCTCCCCAGGCTCCAGAGGCTTTCTAGGAGCCTAGGGAGGGCGATAACGGCCTCCCCGCCCCCAGGCCCTCTGGAGGCCAGAAATGCTCCATTTTCCAACTTCCGGTTTGCGTATTGGCCTGTTTTTCGCCCTCCAGAAGCTTCAGGAAAGCTTGAAGCCTCCAGAGGGCGAAAAACGTCCCTACCCGCAAACCGAAAGTTCAGGAATGGACTTCCGGGTTTCCTGTTGGGCCATTTTTATCCTTCAGGAGGCTTCCCTGAAGCCTCGAATGGCGAAAACCAGCCCAACATGCAAACCGGAAGTCCATTCCTGAACTTCTGCTTTGCGCGTTGGGCACTTTTTTGCCTTCAGAAAGTTTCCCTGAAGCTTCCGGAGGGCAAAAAACGGCTCAAAATCATGGCCGAAATTAGCTGGCCAGCTTGCATATGTGCACTGGAGCTGACAGGGCAACGCCTCACATGCCCCCAGAAATGTCACAGTGTGCCAGCTGTGGCACGTGTGCCATAGTTTCACCATCACGGGACTAGAGCGTGTCACTTTGATTTGCCATTTGTCTGTTCATTCACTGCCACATTATATTTGATTAAGATTTTGCAGGAAGTGTTTCTTAATGGCTATGAAAGAAGGTGGACCACATTGTCCATTATGTCGAGGCATTGTAACCAGAAAAGAAAAAGCACGTCCCAACAGAGCCTTAGATGTTGAAAATAACATGAAGAAATTGGTGGGGAGTTGTAGATGCTGTGAAAAACAGGTACAGTAAATGTAAAATAATCAGTTTTAAATAGATAATTGTTGCTGAAAACCAGAGTTGGGTTGCTAATTTTTTCACTATTGGTTTGGGTGCGCTCCCGTGCGTGCTTGCAACACTTCGTGCATACGCAGCAGCGTCTGGGCGGGTGGGCGGAGCTTCCCACCGCCGCTACTGCCGGTTTGGCCGATCCGGGTCGAACCAGCAGCAACAAGCCTCTGCTGCAAACATACACATACTTAATTCATAGGATCTTTCAAATTTTTAGATTAAGTCTGGGAAGAAAGCTCGTCCAATCTATCAGCATTATCCTGTTCAAAAGCAGATACTGTAGATTCATTAGAATGCACCTTAAAATTACATAAACTATTTGATTTACCTACCCTTTGAGATTATTATTTTTAGTATTCCTCTTTTATTTTTGGTTGGCTCAAGGAGGACACATATCTAATACTCCTAATTTCTATTTTCCTCACAACAATAGCCATATTTGGTGTATTGTGCTGAGAGAAGCTGGCCCAAAGTCTCCCAGCCAACTGTTATGCCAAAGAGAAGATAAGAACTGGTAGTCTCCTAGCTGTTAGTCTCTCCCAGGTCTTCATATCATTAAACTGGCTTTCTGAAGTATTTGTATATCAGTATTTAAAAATCTAAATGAAATATATCTTTTACAGATTAGATTCTCTCGTATGAGACAGCATTATAAATCATGTAAGAGGTATCAAGATGAATATGGTGTTCCTTCTATAATTCCAAACTTAGACATATCTCAAGATTCAACAGGAAACAGGTGATGTGTAGTTAATTATATATTTTTTCCAAAGGGATATCCAAACCAAAACTTAATGCTTTATAGTATAGTAATTCTGTACTATAAACATTAATGGGTACTGTTTATAGTACAGAATTTTCATCATGGTGATGGCTGAAATACAGAGTTGTACATTTCTTAATGGTATTGCCAATGTGATTAGGACAAGACTAAAATAAATTTAAACTTTGGAACTTTGGTTCCACTATGAAATAAAATTCGGAATGCTTCCTTATATAATTCAGTGTTTTGTTCTGTTGTAGTGATCTTTTTAAAAATATTTAATATTCTATTATGTATATGGTTTATAAAACTGACTTTTAAATATAAAATTACTTTAAAAATAATATTTGAGCCAAAACCAAGAAGGTCTTTGTCAATGTATTGTTCAATATCTGAGTATACCTGCATCAGTATTTGTGTTTTTTCTAATGCATTTCTTCAGTTTTCTTAAAAGTTTGAATGGACATAAGAGCTACTTTCAGCTATCTGAAGCAGCCAGATCATGAAATAAACAGCAGGATTTTCAGGAATATCATGTTTTCCTGAAAATATAACCTACCCCCAAAACAAGCCCTAGCCCAGTTTTCACACCTGTGCCTAATGTAAGCCATACACCAAAAATAAGCCCTCATTAAGCCCCGCCCACCATCTGGTTGTATGAGGTGGGGTGAGACGCAGGCATAAAAATCAAGCTAGGATGGGGGTGGGGGATGGAGCTGCCTCACATGCTCCGGAGCCAGGCCTCCCAGACACCTATTGTGCTGGTGCCTGACTTCTGCAGCCGTTCATGGCTGGATGCCACATGGCTCGTCATGGTGGTGTCATTGCTTGCACAATGGCACAACATGCCTGTAACCTTCTGCTGTGAGCAACGGCACCAGTGCAACAAGGCTCATAACATCCTGCCACGAGCAGCATCACCAGCGCGACGAGCCACACAATGTCTGGCCGGGAACAGCTGAAGGAGAAGTCGGGTAGCAGCACAATAGGTGTCGGCATGGGAGGCATGGCTACGGTGGTCCTAAGGTAAGCGACAAATACTTCTCCAAAAAATAAGACCTAGTGCTTATTTTGGGGCAGAAAAGAAAATAAGACCAATCTTCAGGAGAAACTTCAGAGATAAAACAACTATTTCTTATTTTGAATATATCACTAATTTTACTGATAAAATTGTTGAATGCATCGTTTAATTCATATTTATATGTTCCCTGTAGACTGATAAGAAGGATAACTATTTTAAGACTTAACCACATACATAGATATAGTTATAATTAATATTAAATGTATTAGAGGGAAATTTGTAACTATAAAGCAATGATAAAAGTGACAGCAGGTCCTGGAGGTCTTGTGTGAAATTGTAAACAGGAAAGCAAGGACAAATCTAGTTAGTATTTGGAAAACACCTGAAGCCCAAGTTCTGTAGTCTACACTGGGGAATTCAAATGCACATCCACTTTAACAATTGCAGTGTAGCATAACTTGAAAGCATTTTCACTAGTATTTTTTAACAGTTTGTAGGGAAAAAATGCTAGCTCCTTGGTTACTATTTCTGTTTCTTCCTCCAATTATAAATGTGTGTATGTAGGTATATATAAATACACATATACATACATAGAGAGTGAGAAAATCTGGAAGAAATATGCACATATTTTATTCAAGTGAATTTTGTTTATCAAATTTAGAGATGCCACTTATAAATCAAAGATAGAGGGATTTATCTAATAATCATAACTATTAAGTTGTTTTTTTTTACTATAAAATAAATTCTCACTCAGTTTTGGGAGTGATTCTTCTACTTTGGAAATGGGAGAAAACTCTAATCTACATGTTCCTGAAGAACCTGCAAGGTAGGAATAACCCTGCTTATTAATAACTATTGGTTTTTATGGCTAGAAAGAGGGTAGATTTAACAAAATATATTCCAAAATAATATGAAAGCTAGAACACATTTGTGTGTACTGCTAATTTTTAAAGTATTGGATGAAGTAGTAAACAAATAGCTATTGCAATATGTGCCAATTTTGTAACAATAAAATTATTCTACATCATAGATCATAAGAGTCAGGAAAATGTGAAAGCTATACCTTCTCCTCCCCGCCCCCCAGGAAGAGCAGACTCTTCCTGGAAGAACTCCATTGTAAGGGAAACTGCTGGCCTTAGTCATTGGTAGGAGAATAACTTTCCAGAAAAACTTTAGGTACTACCCCACTCTGGGGGGGGGGGGGGGAGAAACACCCAGGTATTTATGAATTGCCTGAAATTTTGGAAGCAATTGAGGGATACTCTGATCCCTGCTATCAGAGGTGATGTTTTTATCAAGATGGCAAGGAAGTGATAGGCAGAGGAAGAAAGCAGAGCTGCTTAATTCCTTCTTTGCATCTCTCTTCACGCAAAGGGAAAAAATAGCATAACCCAGCCAAAACAGAACTGTAAAAGACAGACTAGGAATACAAATTAAAATAGACAAGAAAATGGAAAGAGAACACCTGTACACCTCTAGACGAGTTCAAATCATCAGCACCAGATGGATTACATCCCAGAGTTTTGAAGGAGCTGGCAGACATGATCTTGGAACCATTGAATCATGTCTTTTAAAGATCCTGGATCACGGGAATTACCAGAGGAGTGAAAAAGAACTGCTGTAGTTTCCATTTTCAAAAAAGGGGAAAAAAACAGATCCAGACCAGTCAACCTGGCCCTCAATACCTGGGAAGGACCTGGAAAAAATAAGTAATAGATCTGAGAACACCTAGAAGCAAGTAAACCAGAAGCCAACATTATTTCAAACCACAAAGTGACTAAATTAATAGACCAGCAAAATGCTGTGGATAGTATACTTGGATTGCAGTAAGGCATTTGACAGAGGAGACCACAACCTACTTTATGAGTAAGTTAAAAAATGTGGGATAGACAGCATCACCATCAGATGGATTCGTAACTGGCTGACTAGGCACTCCTTAATGGAACTACACCTGTATGGAGGGAAGTAAGTAGTGGAGAACTAGAGGTTCCATTTTAGGCCCAGTACTCTTCAATATCTTCATAAACGATTTAGATCAGGGAATAGAATGGGAACTCATTAAATTTGCAGACAACACACAGCTGACAGGAATAGCCAGCACCCCAGAAAATAGTCTCAAAATCCAGAAGGATTTTGACTGACTTGAACACTTGAGTCCTAACAAAATGAAATTCAGTGTAGAGAAAAGTAAGGTTTTACACAGGCAAGAAAAGCCAAATGGTCAAATACAGATGAACGTGGCTCAAAAGTGCTAACTGTGAAAGAGATCTTGGGGTCGTAGTTGACAATCACGTAAATATGAGCCAATCAAAAAAGCCAATGCAATCCTAGGCTGCATTAACAGAGGAAAAGATCAAGATCACGAGATGTGTTAGTACTGCTTTATAATAGATACCTTGATAAGACCACACTTGAAATATTGCATCCAGTTTTGGTCACCACAATATAAAAAAGATGTTGAGACTCTGGAAAGAGTAGAGAAAAGAGCAACAAAGATGATTAGAGGGCTAGGAGGCTAAACCATGCACAGTTGCAGGAATTGGATATGTCTAGTCTAGTAAAAAGAAGGATTAAGGATAATATGATAGAAGTGTTCCATTTGAGGGGCTGCCACAAAGAAAAGGTGATCAACCTATTTTCCAAAGCACCTGAAGGCAGATCAAGGAGCAATGGAGGGAAACTAATCAAGGAGAGAAACCACCTGGAACTAAGAAATTTTCTGACAGTGACAACAATTAACCGGTGGGACCAGTTGCCTTCAGAGGTTGTGGGTGCTCCATCACTTGTAGGCTTTTAAGAGATAGCCATTTGTCTGAAATGGTATAGGGTCTCCTTGTGCCGATGGTTGGACTAGAAGACCTGTAATATCCTTTCCAACTCTGTTATTCAATCACAACTGACTGTTGTCAGTATTTCCAAAGTATATTAAATTAGTCATCTGCTGCAAACAGCAGATATCCCTGTGAGTTTGTTTTTCATCCATTGAGTTCCTTGTACATATTGCATGCTGCTTCTCTACTTTTTTTTTATTCTGTTGCTGTTTGTATTTCAGTGAGCAGCCTACTTTCAAATGCCCTCTATGTCAAGAAAGTAACTTCACAAGGCAGACTCTATTGGATCATTGTAATGACAAGCATCTTTATCAAGTAGACCCAGCAGTGAGTACATGTGTAAAAAGCTTGTTGTATGTAAAATAATAAAAGATCTTGTGGCTTAGCTCAAATGGTATAACAGAGTTAATATTTAAGGATACATGCTTTAATTATTTCTGTTATTTTGTTATTTCTGTTAAAGTCAGCTATAGGAATATAAGCAATGTACTGCTGGATTGGACCCTGGCCTGTCTAATCCAGGCATTTGTTCTCACAATGGCCAACTAACTGTGCAAAAATACCCTATTCCCCCATCTGATGGTCTTCAAAAGCAGTCACATTGCCATCCAGATTATGTCATCGATCTCTAAGTCTTCCATTAATTGGTGCGACCTTTTTTGAAGGCAGCCAAGTAGTAGCCAGCACCACATCTCATGGTAGTGAATTATAAAAGTTTTTACTAAAATTTACTGAAATTATGTTAATTCCAAGGTGTGTAAAGTAAAAGAATGAAATGCCATATTAAAAAAAACTTTTTATCTCTTTTTGACATGTTTCCATTTTCAATAATAGTATTTTCACTTTTTTCCCTTAAATTTGGCATAGATCATACTTTTAAAAGCACACAGACATTGCATTTCATTCATTAAACATATCTGAGCACTTAAATGTTTAGATTTGGAAAAACTATACCATATCAACGTTGCAGAACTGGGTGGGGGTGATTAAGTTTTTAAAAAAATGTCTATTTAAGCTTCCCCAAACTGATTACATAGAGACCTCTGTGTTATTTTCCTCACAACAGTTCAGAAATAGTTTGGTATTAATTTTTCTCCAGGCCTATATTCATGGGATTTCCTGGTATTTTCCTCTGTGCTAAGTGGGTCAGATTTTGCTTAGTTTTTTTTTATGCTCAGCTGAAGGTGGATTGGTACTGGCACTAGTGGAGGCTACTGGCTTTTTAACATCATCTTTACCCCCCCATTCTTAAAGGCTTCTTAACTTAATGAGAAGAGCATGACTAGTATTTTCTCTTTTAAAAGCAGAAACACTATATCTACTTTTAAAATAAGAAATGTCTATTATATTCATATTCCTTCCACAACTTTTAAAATAAGAGATGTCTGTTCTATTCATATTCCTTCCACAACTTTCTACCGTGTTTCCCCAACAATAAGACAGGGTCTTATTTTCTTTTAACCCCCCCCCAAATAAGCGCTTGGCCTTATTTTCAGGGAGGTCTTATTATTTTTGAGGTGCAGGAGGTGATGAACTTGGTCTCCTCATGGCTGCTGCTGTATTGCAATATTTTCAGGGAGGGTTTATTATCTGGGGAGGTCTTATTTTCAGGGAAACAGGATACTTGTTAGAATCAAATATAACAATATCACAAATATCACTGAACAATGATCAAAAAAGATTCATTACCAGGAATAAAATTTTCAGAAGTACATAACTGGAAGGAATTCAGAAAAATGTGAAAATGGAAGACCAAAGACTGAGTATAATAATAGATAACAACAATTGGAAATATAGAGGAAACAGCAGATATGGACTACAGAAATGATAACTTAGAAGAAATACAGAAGTAATAATAACAGAACCAGTACAGGCCAGCACTGAAATAATTGACCCCCCCCCCTAAACATTAAAAGATAAAATTATGGCATGTGCAGAATTGCCAGTAGAACAACAATGATTGAATTGAAAGTAGTGTCCAAAAAAGACCTGGCACCAATAATGAAGGATGTGAATAAGATGCTTGCAAGAATTAAAGTATCACCTATCAAACAAGCTAACCATCTTGCTACAATATAGCAGTGGCAGTTGCACAAGAGCAAAATATCAAAATTAGAAAACCAAAATCAAAGTCAATCCTAAAGTGAAAGATCAGGCAAGAATTCCAAGATAAAGACATTAAGTTCCGATGTAATTAAAGAATATGAAATAGCAAAAAAAATCATTGAAGACTATAAGGATGAAGACAAATCTAATTTTTAAAAATGCTATGGTACATAAGCAACCCTTCAAGTACTAGCACCTTAAATTGTATCTGGAAGTAAATAAACCACCAGTACAGCTCACAAAAGCAGAGATATTACATAGACATGCTAAGGTATGCCCATCACTGCTCTTGGTTCTATACCAGTTAAAGCTTCTAGAGATCTTCAAAGGCAGCCCTGTGTATATCAAATTATAATAGGCAAGCTGCAAGCAATTAGGGCATGATTGACTATCTAAAGGGCTTTTGATCAAGGAAAGGGTACACATTGTATTGTAAGTTCAAAACAATTGTGGCACATTAAAGAGAAACAACAGTTTCTCTTTAATGTACCAGAATTATGGAATGAGAATATAGAAATATTTTTTATATGGAAGATAGAAATCCTTCCATATTAAAAAAAAGAGCTATCCAGGTACAGGAAGGCAGATCTTACGCCTTAAAATTTCTTCTCATCCCTCTCAAAGAACAGAGAGATTTATAAAAGAAGGCCATTTGGCTAAGAAGTATCTTGAATTCTTTTAAGTAATTTAGTAATACACTAAAATCAAATGAAGTTTTTCTTATGTGTTTGGAATTCACTTAGTTTATTTTTAACATCATTATTGAAACAGAGTAAATGAATTTAACAAAAAGCCTTGCTGCTTTTAATATGAAGATAAAACTAAACAAAACAAATCATACAAAAATTGTACTTTTACAATTTTCTAAGTAATAATGCAGAATATTAAAGAAAAATAGTTTGATTTTAAAAGTTTTGTTTCTAATTCACTGCTACTTTGTTATTTAGAATCTTCAATTGGATGAAGAAACTCTGTTTCAAAATGCTGTTGAGGAATCTTATCAAGTGAACCTTTGAAGCTTCTAATTTCCTTACATCACCACTATCTACAAGGGGGGAGAGAGTCAAGTCTGGTCTGATGTTAATAAAGAGGAACTCTGTATCCAATTCAGTAGCAATTGTTTTCCCCTAGGCAGATTTCATTTTAAAATACTTTAAAGACATGTGTTACTACGTTGTAGTATAAAGTATCTATTTTCCAATTACTAGTAGAAATATTTCAAATATCTGGAGAAAATATCACTGCCTTTGGGGAAAAAAAGAATTCTTTTTTATTTAAATTATTTGATTTTACAGAACTCTTTTATTTGCATTAAAATCAATTGTAAGGCATTAGAATGCAGAAAAGGAGGATAATTACCCTTGTTTGAATAGTTCCATTTTCCTTGCATACTTTGTATTTTGAAGTAGAAGTTAAAAGCTGAATGGTTTTATTGTGCTCCATAACTTAACTATTGCATGCAGGGATTTTCTTAATTGTTTTTAAAAGTCTCTTAAGTACAGAACCATTTACTGAACCTTATAAATAGAATGGCAGAATTCACACTTAAAAACTGACTTGGTCTAGAAAAAGAATGAAGTTCTTTTCACCAACACCTCTATCACTATACTTTTCTAAAACTTTTTTCTCCTAAGCATTACTTTTATATGATTAATTTACATTAGTTTAAGACCCAAATAAGATTCTTAGGGCACAGCATAATTCACATGGGATGTTTATTAGTGTTTTTCCTTTTTTTAAAATAACACTTAGATAGATAGATAGTAGATTCCTAATACTTTGAAAATGTTATATTACTGAGACTGCTTTTATAATAAGAGAGTTTTATTTTTAAAAAATGCTGTGTTGTCTTAGGCCAGTATTAAATTGGGTTGATTGTAGTGTTTTAAGTTAACAAGATATTTCTACTAATTGAACCTATCTTGAAACCTAGTAAATGTCTACTTTAAAAACTCGCTGGTAAATTATCTTCATTGTAGTAGTATAATTATGGGTAAGCAATTTCATTTTGTGTCACTGCATTAGTCTATGTTTCTATTACGTCTTGGGGTTTGCTCTATTTTCATGGAATAAAAGAGAATTTTAGAATGCAGACAATGGAATCTCTGCATAAATGCTCATGATTTGAGTATTCTTTTTGCTTTATTGTTAAATAGTAATATTTGAATTTGGTTTTTTTTCTCAAACACATTATTCCTTTATCAAAAAAAATTAAAGAATGACTCAGATGTATTGATTTCAATTTACAGAATTCTCTCCCCCCCCCCTTCAGTTTTGTTTTGGGGAGAGCAATAATGTTTAACTGCACAGTAAACAATAACACTTTGCTTTGTTCTGAAGTGCCATGGAATAAAAATATACCAGAAACTAGTAACTATTTTAAACACATTTCTGAATTGGGTTTAGACTTCAGATAAACCTAAGTTAAATTAGCATATGTAGAGCAAGAGAAGGTACCATTAGAAAAAAGAAGTTATAAGACAATAAATCTTTCTATGAAATAATCACAGCAGTGCATAATACTAAGTACTGTGATTTCCTTCTGTATGCCCCCCAGGCAATAATTTATTTTTGTTTCTCATTTCTTGGTTTGATTTCTGATTGTGATACTGTCACAATATTAAGTCAGTACGACTAATAATTCTGTACAAAACAGTGTTGATAGATAGCCACATGATAAATTAAACTAACTCTTTATATCCTTTCTGGATTTAGAGGTGTCCACTCGACTGTTCAGGAAGTTAGCAGGGTTATCTACAATAGATCATATGCTGCAAGGCATATTAAAAACATCACCATTATTAGCGAACTGTGGGAATTGGGGTACCTCACCATTGGTAATTAGAAATATACATTTAGGTACCTAGCTTGATGTCATGTTTATTAGATTGGTTAGATACTTTGTGTTACCAATCAGGTACAAGTAGTCCTGGACTTACAACCACAAATGAGCCCAAAATTTCTGTTGTTAAGTGAGATATTTGTTAAGTGAGTTTTGCTTTACGACCTTACGACAGTTGTTAAGTGAATCACTGCAGTTGACAAATTAGTAACCCGATGTTAAGTAAATCTGGCTTCCGCAATGACTTCGCTTGCCAGAAGGTTGCAAATGGCGATTCATTGTGGGAATCAAAGTATCCTTCCATTTTTGTGCATAAAGTAAATTTGCTGCCATCAATATATATGATGAAGTTAGGAGTTACAACTGACAGCTTTGTTTAAAGAAAAAAACACAATTTTGTTTCTACTTGGAAACCGCTTCTGGATTTTGTGCTCGCAGTGGAAAAAAGTGAAACTTTGATTTTGGATTTTACCATTAAATAGGTTTGTTGTTATAGAAATGGCTAGTTTATACTGTAATGTAAAAGTAAAAAGTTGAGGTTTGAAGCTATTATCTTATTCTACTGTCCCAAAGGGAGTTGGAAGTCAACACCTTTTCTTACTTTTCCTCCTTTTTCCTACACTTTTCCCTTCCTTTTTCTCTCCCCTATCTTTCCTACTGTTTTCTTCTGCATTTTTTGTATTTTATATTATAAATTAATTAAAAGAAAAAAAGAAAAATAGTCATAAGTCACATTTTTTCAGTGCCATTGTAACTTTGAACCATTACTAAACAAACATAAATTGAGGACTATCTGTATTGTTCGGTTGTCCTTCAAAAGCAAAACACCAGTGCAATCCTTTTCAAGAGATCAGGTCATATTACAACTACATTTCAATTCCAATATATCACTTTATTATTATTTTTACAAAAAAGCTTGTTTTTCTGCTTATGTAATTGAATAAATCAAACTTATATTGCTGGTGAAAAAAAGTCAAACCGTGAGATGAGCAGCATATAAATTTGATAATTAAAAATACTGCATTTCTAGCAATAAATAACAATCTTAAGCAGAGATGGGCCATGGAGAGACTTCAGGATTGTGTGGTCTTCTTTGTGTTAATGTCATTTGTTAGATGAACTGAGAGAGTGACTAGGCCAAAATCATGCAGTTAACTTCCAGGTTTGAAGTACATTTGAATATTGGTTTCCCTGGTCCTAGTCCAACAACCATCTTACTAGAATCCTGAAACAATGTCAGATGATTAGCTAGGAAAGCCTATGAATGCTGTAAGAATAGTTTTCAGGAAGATATACAATTTAAGAAGGAAATAGTAAAATTGTGTGTTTGTGCATGATCGAACGAGAGAGACAATGCGTGTTCCTCGCTGCCTGTATAATATTTTAAACTGGTAGATGTATCATGTAATTCAAGTAACACTGGTGGTGAGGAAAATATTTTTGTTTTAACATTTTTAAAAGGAAGCAGAATACAGATTCATGGACCAACAGAACAAATTTTATTTTAAGAAAATGTGCACATGTATATTTTTAAAAGAGCCATGGTGGTGCAGTGGTTAGAATGGAATATTGCAGGCTAACTGCCTACAACCAGCATTTCAATCCTGGTCGACTCAAGATGGTTTCAGTTTTCCATCCTTTCAAGATCTGTAAAATGAAGGCCCAGATGGTTGGAGGCAATATGCTGATTCTAAATCGCTCAGAGAGTGCTGCAAAGCACTATGGAGCGATATATAATTCTAAGTGCAATTCTATTAAAGAAAAAACCAAAATGTTTTTCTACAGGAAATAACTAAAATATTCAAATATCAAGAAAATATCAACTTAAAGCACGTTTTTATACAGTATCTGTGAAAATAGTAAATGTAAAAGAATACATAATGGAGACCAACACCAATATTAATGAAGATATTTAAGTAATCATATATATGTCATATGGTACAAAGTAAATTTGCTTAATTATTTAAGGAAAAACTCATTCTAAGCATATTTCAGATGGGCTCTGGAAAATATTCAGGTGAAAGGGGAATCTGAAATTCTGAGCAAGCCAGTTTTGGGGCTAAAACATAAAGTAGTAGCCAAGAGATGGATCAAAAATCATTCAAAATGAACATTGACACTTTTCAAATTATGAAATGCAATTTTATTCAATGAGTTCTGCTACATCAGAAAGCTGTTCAGAAGGGTTCAAGTGATCTCTGAATAAATAAAGTCGATCCAGGGCCTGAAAGGAGCTAACTGGCAAAAAGCTAATGCAAATCAGTCCTTCAACATGCAAGACTTGGCATATGTATTCTGCAGATACACTTCTGTAAGACCCCCTGGAATTCTACTAAGTATAGAAAAAGAAAACTAGAATTACATGCATGTTATTATTCTGCCCTCAATAATTTCACTTAATATCCATGTGTGCACAAAAATCTGCATTGTTCTTCAGGAGATTCATGCCCAAAATCTAAGAATATTTTATGCTTATAGAAATGATAGAGGTAACTATGATCTCATGTTTTCTTGCTAGCAAAGTGGAGGGGGTCTTTTTTAGGATATTTATTTTTCTATTTTTCAATCCTATAGCCCTATAATTTCCTCATGACCTTTTGTCCAGCTATTAACCAGAACTACATAACCTGACTTATCAAGGGATTTGCTTAGAGTACCCCACCCCAATCCACCCAGCTTTATTTATATATGTTTGAACTGATCAAATGGTCTGAAACAAACCATTGAGCCAGGAATAATGAAATTATTTGATTGACAGTTAATGTACTATAATTGCTGCAGCAGGTACCTAAGTTCTGGGAAACAGATGGATTTTGGAAACTAATACCATTCTTATTTACATCTGTTTCACTCTTGCTATATGCTAGTTCCTTGTTCCAATTATGTCCTAAGAAGTCTGCTTCAATTTAGTTGAGCTGGCGGAAAACAGCAGCAAATCTTTCCTCTGCTGACATATTGCATGAAATGGAGTCATCTTCTGTCAAGCTTTCACATCAGGCTTTACTTGGCATTGGAAACTAAATATTGCAAAGCACAGATGGGCATTCTAAGCATGGAAATGGTGGTGCTATGGCAGAGCTATTTTTCCGAGGGGGGGGCATTACCCTCTTATCAAATGTCAGTAATATTGGGGTATCATGGAAATCCAGAATTCCACTTGCTACATACTTAGAGAGCATATTATCAGTCCCCAAATTCTGGCAATTCAAAAGAATAGTACCCTTTTCTTTCTCTGTGAGAGAACTAGGATATCAGGTTTGGCAGTGAGATGGGAATTATCATCCAGAATATTTATGATGTCCTTTGAATAATCCACTGACGAGATGAATCATCATGAACAACTGATAATATTTTCTTCTAAAAGCCACACATATGCTATAATATAAGATGATGACTTTTTCTTTTCTAATCAATGTAAAAATCATCTGCTGGTTATAATACAATCTTGCCACCAGAGGGCGCCAAGCTCTTTGAAAGGCAATCCCTTTAAAATCTGATTTTTTCAAAAAAAGATTTGATGAGACTGCACACATGTCACTTTAACACAGAGGTGCCTCACCTGTCAGCTTGGGGCTGTATGAGATTCCTTGAGTTCAATTCCAAAAGCTTTTACCAAATTAAAAACAGCAATGTCTTTACATATATCACTGGAAAGTAATGTTACCTATATTCCACTTAGACTGGAAATGAAATGCAGGGTGGGTGTTGCCCCCTCCAATGCTCTTTTGCAATGCAGCCTCTAGCACATCACTTAAAGCCTCTGGCACACCATCCTTTACATGAAAAAGTTATACATCAATGCACTCCCATGCGAATTGCTTATTTATTTATTTGAAAGAAACATATTGCAGTCAAAAGTCTATCTTGTAGTACTCATAAATATGTCCAGATGGTTATAAATTGAAAAGGTATTTTAAAGGTTACTCAGAATTATTGACAGGTGGGCTGCCTAAAGTACGACATGTTTATGGCTTGGCTAAATAAATATATGACTAGTATTGCAAGAAATATATATTGCTGATGCAACATAGCTAGTTTGCTTTCTCTGTCGCTTCTACAGTAAATGATTTATAAAGTACAATAGGTACATTCGTTTACAGATTGTTCTTGCTTACCCAACTGCATTTGGGACCAGTAGCTCTGTCACTGAGCAATAAGATCATAAAGTGAAACATCTTGTGACTGTGCCTGACTTATGACCTCAGTTCCGGCAGTGGTTAAACAAATTGTCATAGTAATTAAGTGCAGGTCACCTGATCACAACTTGCAACTTCCTGCCACTTTTCCCATTAACTTTGTTTCCCAGAAGCCAGCTGTTAAGTTGCAAATGGCAATCACAAGACTGCAGAATATTGCAACTATCCTAAGTGCACATCAGCAACTAAT